GGGGGGGTGGCGCGGTACATAGTAATCAAACCATGCTCCTGACATCGTAACTGACGGAACAGATAAAAAGACAATGCATGACAAAATATGGATGACCAGCACACACTGTGGACCTCGAGCCAAACGACGCTCGGAAGCGGCTCGCTAAAGTCCTGCAGGCGTTTCGACGAGTGGAAGCTTGGACCTCCGCGGTTAAAAAGCAGCACCAGAAAATGAAGCAGACTGTTCATTGATCCATTTTCGACAGTGGAACGTGTCAAAGAAACAAAGTTGGCTCGTTCTTCATTCACAGCCGTTTAAAACCACAAATCAAATGAACTAAAACAGTTCACGGAGATTGCATGTAGCACCCCTGTCCGTCCCCGGGATTCAACGTCGCATCGTAAATAAAGCGCAATGGGAGGTCGCGGGTGGGAAAAGGCAAACGTGTGCGCTCAGTAGACTTCCGTGTCCTCCTTGGGCCTGTAGACGGCGCCGAACCTCTGCATGTACTTCTTGATGTATTCCTTGGTCTTGTGCTTGACGTTCTCGTTGCAGTCCAGGTCCTCCGGGTTGGTGCACGCCTTGAGTTCCTTGTTCATGACGCCGTGGGTTAGCTGGCGGGAACAAAGGCAATGCATTAGTGGGCGGGACATGACGGTTACAGCATAAGGCCGGGCAGTTCTGCAATCTAAATTGGACTCAGTGAATTAAATAGAAGATTATATATAAAAGACAAATTGCCTGGTGTCAAGACCAATTGAAGTTCAGTCTAAGACAGTAAAACAGAATCCCGAACGAGTGAAGCTTTCGAATGTGTCAGTGTCCTTAGGAATCTTGGTATCTAGGAATCATGAACCACACCCTGCGTGCACCCTGTTAAAAAGAAGAGAAAGCCAGTACAAAGCCAGTGTGCTCGGACATAAGCATAGCTACGGTGGCGCTGGGTGGGTGATGTGTCCGTGCGCCGCATATGCACAGTGTAGCCTATCAAGTGCTGCCTCCGCATGTAAAAATTATTTTATTTACTATACCTTTAAGCGCACAAGATCTCCATCCCAGTTCGTCATTGGCCTTTACTGTATATTGTGCGTGTTGCGCAATGGCTCACAACATGCTCATTTCAGCGAGGCAAAAATATGTGTGCAAAGGGTACTATAATTTGTGACTTTGGGTTATTTTTCATGAGAGTCATTACGACATCTGGAAACGGTTTCAAATCATGAAAGAAATAAGTTGCACCTTTAAAGTACTAATGACACCTTTACACATTCATCTGAATGAGAACATATGTCCAAACTTTTGACTGAAGTTAATTACAAAAAAAGAGCTTTGGAGTTTTTATTCATTTATTCTACCGTTTGCCTTGTATTTATGTATTTACTATAACTGGATCATTTTGTCCTACTAGCAAAAAACTCTTGGCTAATGTTACCATTCACATAGTTGTGTGTGTGTGTGTGTGTGTGTGTGTGTGTGTGTGGTACTTGGATAAACGTAAACACGTAACTATTGCCAACGTTTGAGCCGATACAGGTGTCGCGTCTCATATTTTGAGGCTTCTGGGACGCTTCCCGACCACGACAATGAAAGTATGGCATGTCAGAATTTTTGTTGTTCTTGCCGCCGAGTGTAGCAATTCCTGTGTCGTACTTTGATTGGTTCTTTTGCACTGACCAAGAGGAAGACAGTGGCCTCCTCCTAGTTATGACAAGAGACTGGACGTGGCGCACACCATTCACAATGTCGTGTACAGTGTTTAAAACGAGACTTGAACAACAGGGGAAATATTGGAAAGAATATGTTATTCAACTCATGCTACATTTGCGAACTGTAAAGCTAGTAGCCGATTAGCAAAGGTGGTGTCATTAACACCCTTATGTTAATTTGTGACCTTAAGTTGTTTTTGGAGAATAGACGGTCCATAACTGTTACCTTTCTTGCCAGGTGTTTGAAGTCTTCAGTGTTGCTGATGCGGCCGTGTTTGCAGTCTGGTTTTCGATAAGGATTTAAACATTGCACAATAAACTGGGACATCTGAGGAACAAAAACACACAGACACACGTTAAAAACTTCATGTCCAACAAAGGTGAGCTCATATGGGGCGATGCCTACCTCTTTGCGGAATGACTCTTTACTTTTTTTGGCCAATTCACTTGAAGTGTCTGCTTCAGCTGTTTTGGTTGAGAACTAAAAAAAAATTTTTTAAAAAGCAACAGCATTCATTTAATATTCAGGTTAATGTGATGCCTTTAAAAATGTCATTTGAACTTCCATCAGGAATTTTCTCAGCTGCGGTAGAAGAGGTTAAAAAGTAGCACTGTTGGGGCCATCGGAATTAAAATCCCGAAGGAGCACAACTGTGCCCCAATCGAGCATGGCAGCTGGTGGCCCAAACAGTTGCCATGGAGGTCAGCCGGGGCATCAAACAGCATCTGACCACCGCACTGAAGACAAGAACAGCTGAGGTGCCAAGTGCGCTGATTAAAAACCGCGCGCACGCAGAGCTGGGACAGTGAAGTAGTTTATAATAGGATGAGCATGTGTCACAGATTCAAGTGCTGTGAAATCAAATCTGTGTGACCTTGTGGCGCTTCTTCATGTAAACATGCATCTCGGTTTAGTTTCGCCCCCAAGAGTAGCCAGTTGACCAAAAAGGGACATTTAACTAAGTGCCACAAAGGGGGTGGGGGTTTTTTTGGCTCGTCCAGATGCTTTCCATTATCCCAATGGGGATAGAAGTGAAAAAGGGGAAACAAATGAGGTGGTGAAGACAAGAAGAGCAAATCTCACCCTTACTTTATGGCCCTGAGCCCAGGGGACATTCAGATAAGTGGTGGGACAAGGCTTCAAGACCGTCTTTGTCTTCAAGAGACAAATATGCGAGGAGGAGCTCATTTAAGCGCCTGGAGATGCTGTTATGATGACGTTTGTTCCCCTCCATAAAACACAGCTGAAAGTAATCACCAGTGCACCATCTTCAATGGCCCCAAAGAACAAACACTACAATTAGGTCTTTCATTCAACCTCAAACCTTCTGGGAAGCGAAGGCAAAGGCAAACAGGAAGCATCCTCAACAAAGTTAAACACAGGCAGCACGGTGGTTGACTGGTTAACACGTCTCCCTCACAGTGGGGTTCGATTGCAGGCTCTGGCCTTCCTGTGTGGAGTTTGCATCTTTTTCCCTATGCCTGCGTGGGTTTTCTCCGGGTACTCCGGTTTCCTCCCATATTCCAAAAACATGCATGGTAGGTTAAGTGAATTCGCTAAAATTGTCCAAAGGTTTGATTGTGAGTGTGAATGCTTGTTAGTGTATGTGTGCCCTGCGATTGGCTGGCAACCAGTTCAGGGTGTACCCCGCCTACGGCCCGAAGACGGCTGCGATATGCTTCAGAATGCCCCCAACCCTTGTGAGGATGCAGCGGTTCAGATAATGGAAGGATGGAATTTAAACACACAATTAAGCTTTTACATAGATCATAAGTACCCAGATAATCTTTTAAAAGCTCACCTTGGAAGGATTTTCATCATAGGTGGGAGTGCCCAGGTCCATCTCTGAGTCATGGTCCAGATTGGTGTCGCTACTTCCGTCCCATGTTGGAGGATCCCACTGAGTTTGCCTGAAAGAGAAACATTCACACGCACGCGCACACACACACACACACACACATTACAAAGGTAAATTCAAAATGACACTTTGAAATGTATATAAGGGCCCTCTGGATAAACATCCCTACTCACCTTGTCCCAATATGGTAATAGTAGATTTTCCCTTCAGGGTCCCGTGCCACTTTCCAGTTGGGAGGTAGAACGATAGTTTTGGGTTTCGGGGGAGAGGGGGGAGGCAGATCTATCACATTGTTGGGTACGATCATTTCCTGGAGGAGAGAACCAGTATTCTAATTTACCATCTGTCATATCTGCTTCGCCTGCCATGGAAAATGCGAATCACCAGATAATGAGCATACACAAAATTCATATGCCTCCATGTCTACACGCAGCTCTTGGTCGTATGAAATGTAGACGTACACTACCCCCTTGTGACTAAATGTTGCATGCGGCAAAGTACAAATTTTTGCTCAAATTATTTTAGGCAATGTGACCCTTGTGCTCATTTGTTGTCATGACACAACGGTAGTTTGAACTCCAAAACACTCAAGGACACTTTACAACAAAAACAACACGTACAAAAGCAAACATCTAAAGGTGAGTTACAAATATATATTTAAAAAAAAAAAAAAAAATTCAAAAACTAGCGCACGGTAGTTTAAAAAGATTTCGACAGAATTGTGAAGTGTATCGTGAATTAAGGTGACCTTATTACCTGCTGGACAGTTTGGGAGGTAACGATGGTGGTGACTGTGCCTCCCTGCTGCACCACCACGCCCTGCTGATGGCCAGGATACACCGTCTGGCCGTGCAAATAGCTGGCTGAGGGGTCGGAGTACGCCTGCAAAAGCACATGACAAAGAATAACTACATCTAGTGGTGGGACTTCATGGAAGAAATTACTCAAATGTATTCGATGCTTTGTAAATCATGTTTCACTCATGAATCTGATTTTAAAGTTGCTGGTCGACTTAAGTCCTGCTGTGTTTGAAAAGTGTAAATGCTTCAGTGAGAAGCAATCGCTATTTGTGTACTTTTGCGATTGTTGCGGTGGGGACTTAAGATAAAAATTTTCATTGCTGATAACGTTTATAACTTTCTGGGTTTGCCTTTGATTTTTGTGAGCATACTTAGTCTAAATTGCTTTTGGCGCTGCATTTCGCCGTGAAGTATGCGCCCACCCTTCGGCTCTCACGGAAGAGACAGCGGGAGAACAGGTAAGACATGTCACCTAGTGGTGAATAGTGTTATTACAACTCAAATCTGGGCAGGTCCAGTAGAGTCGAACTGACTAAAATTAATCAAGGGCCACACCAAGTGTGGGCATCAGTGTGTGTAATTATTTGTAACAGTATGTTTAATTTCTTAAAAATAAAATTATTTTCGTCAAAGACCTTCAAATAACTCTAAAAAGGTTGATGAGTTGAAAATGATGATGAGCGTCATCTACGTGAACTATTTAGGGAAATCAGAAATAAATATAAAAAATCCAGTGTACTTTTGAATTTATTCTATGACTGTACCACTGTACTAACCAGGCCTAATCCTGCTAAATTCCCGAAATTAGATCCTATCAAGTGTTCTTTGAGTAGTAACGTCATCCGAGTCCTAAATACACACATGACATGGATGAAACATTCAGTACCGATGCAATATAATGACTGGCCCACCTGTATGGCTGGCGTGCTGGTCTGAGGGTATGCGGTGGGGATGCTGTAGATAGTTTGGCACGGCTGGCCTTGGTAGTAGATAGCCGTTTGTGTGGCGCCCTGCGCCGGGGCCGTGGCGTACTGCTGCGCTGGCTGCGTCTGCACAGTCACTGCCTGCTGCGTGGCGGGGTCCCACAGAGTGGCGTAGCCCTGCTGGCCCTGGATCTGGGGCGCCGTCTGGGCGGGCACGGAGAGGACAGACACGCTCGAATCCTGGGCTGCGACGGCGGGCTGGGCATACTGCTGGGTGTCTGCAGGCGTGTGGTTGGCGGTGGTGATGTGCTGAGAGATATTAGAAACAGGAGTGGCTTGTGAAGTGGATGATGGCGAGGGAAGCCCAAGCTCTGAGACAAGTCTTTGGGGAGTAGTCTGTTCATAGGTCATGGTGGGGTCAGCTGTAGGGGTGGGTAGTAGTACTTTGCCTGCGTTGGGGTTGGTGGGATCCACAAATGTATGGAGGGGGTATCCAGGTGGGTAGGTGATGAAGCCAGAAGTGGAGGCATAGGCCAAGGCAGGGTCATAGGCCATAGTTTGGAGCTGTTGCTGCTGTTGCTGCTGCTGCTGCTGCTGTTGTTGCTGCTGCAGCTGTTGTTGCTGTTTCTGGGCTTCCCGCTGAGCGACCTCCTGCTCAAACAGCTTCCTGCGTTCCTCTGTAGACAGCTTGTTGCGCTCCTTGCCGCTAACACCCCTCGGTGTCTTTGACGGGTCGAACCTGAAATGATCCACACCAAAACAACACTGCTCGACATCCTAGAGAGCACAAAGGTCAAACATCCGGATGGCGGGAATTCCTACCGTTCCTCAGTGCGCCGAGTGCTCCGCTCATAGGAGGGGGGTGGTGATGTGGATCGTCGCCTCCGTCTCTCAGTGCTGCGTGGGGTTTTGTCTCGATCACGCTCCCTGTCCCGGTCCCTTTCTCTCTCCCGATCCCTGTCTCGCTCCCTATCCCTTTCCCAATCCCGGTCATGGTCTCTGTCCCGGTCGCGATCCTTTTCACGCTCCCTTTCACGCTCTCGACTACCTGAGGTGTTGCGTGGAGTCAAAGTTGTGTCGCGATCTCGGCTGCGATCTGTTTTGAGACAATGCGGTCGGTCCAAATAACATTTCACTCAAAATTATGAAAGCGATTGAAGAGCTGGAAAATGTACTTACCGTTGGCTTCCTTTTCTACCTGACTCTTCTTTGGTATTCTGTACACCTCCTGAAAGACAAGCAGATAATTTGATGTCTGGTTTATGAGAATACATGACCCAATTTGATCCTTGTGAGTTCAATCTGGTCCCAACAGGAGTGGGCACAGCGCGTCATTGCAACATTTGTTGATAACTTTTACGTCCGATGCCCTTCCTGACACAGTCCACCATTTTTATTTATTTATTTTAATCCAGGTTTGGGACCAGCAGCGGTTGGTAATTGGACCGGAAAGTGAACCCGCACCCTCTGCATGAAAGAATGCTGCGTGTACCGCAACACTACCGGTTTATAATACAAAGAGATTACAGACAAATAAAACTTAACTCGTTTGTCTGCCTTTCTGTTAAACTGTGAGCTCACCTTGAGATCCTTCCAACTTTCCAAAAGCCTGGCTGCCATGCTGCTAATGTCCAAAGCGCTGACTTGGGGCTCTTGACTCCGCTCACTCTCCACGTCGGAAACACCTTCCTCTTCATCCTGAGAAGGCGTTTCAATGGCTGGCGTATCTGCAGGTGCTGGTGTGTCTTCAGTGGGCAGACTGACCTCTGGGGTGTCAGAACTTGAGGGAGCAACAGGGGCAGGTGCATCCAGTTGGGCCTCTGAGCCAATAGGAGGATTTTCAGCCTCCGGTGTTTCAGTCTTGGCTACCACCTGCTCGGCAGGCTGTTCCGTTAGAGCCTGAGGAATATTGATTTGAACTGACTCGATCTCTGGGTCCTGAATCTCAACTGTAGGCTGGTCACCTTCTACTTCGGGCATTTCTATTGGTGCCTGGATAGTCAGCTCTTCTCCACTAGGTTTGTCAGAGACCTCAAATTCCATCTCCGGTTTGACATTGATGTCCACTTTAACCTCCAACTCAATTTGGTCTTTTACCTCTTCAACATGAATTTGTTCCCCTCTATCTGAAGCCATTTCTGTCTCTTCCGGTTTCTGCACTTTGGTGTCTTTCACCTCCTCGTCTGGACTGTCTCTCACTGGATTCGAGGCGTCATTGACCGTGTCTGCCTTATGTTGTTTGTCATCGGGTAGTACACTCTGAGCAGACTCGTCTTCTTCCTCATCATCTTCTTCCTCTTCCTCCTCCTTGCCATCAGATGCTTTGCTGGCATCTGAGAGCGCACTGTCCAGACTGTTTTCACTGATGATTTTAAGGCGGCGGTCCACAGCTGGTTTGGAGGTGTCCCTGTCACATTCTGGTCCCAATTTGGAGGAGGAACCATCGGGGGTGTTGAGGGGCGTCTGAGCACGAGAAGTGTTCTCACTTGAGTAACCGTCCATCTCAGTGGGCTGAGGGAGTGCTTTTGTTTGGGCCCATCGCTGAATGAAGGTCAGGACTTTACTCTCTTCCAGCATGTTCTTAGTGGAGATGGGTAGCACAGCCAAGGTCTTCATAATCTGGAGACAAATGGATTGTGCATTTTTATACCGACACTAATATTACCTTACAAATGACTCGATGGCAAGACTGCACTTAGCACACCTCGGATTGTAGCTTGATGTTATTAGCGCAGTTGCCCTTTGCTTCAGAAATCTCAACCATGAAGATCCAAAGCAAAGACAAGCCGTGATGATCTAAGAACTGCTTCAAACATGATGGATTCTGTGTGTCCTACATAGCACAAAAAAACAAACAACATTTAAAAAGAAATGCTATTTTAAGGAGTTCAAACCTCGTACTTTAACATTGTTTTAATGTTGATTTACGTGTATGAGCTTGAGACAGGTGAGTTTCTGTTCCATGTTTTCCACGCGAACCATAAGCCTGCACAGTGACACCACTTGTTTCCCATCGTAGAGCCCTTCGCCATTCTCTAGTAACGCCTCCAATTCCTCATCAACCTAAAGAACACCAGACATAAGAGATGAAAAGTGAAAAGCCTATTCCAGCTATCCGAATTACATCAATGACTGCGATGTCTACAAAACATCAATCGTAAACCCAACACACAAGCCAAAAGTATTACAAAGAAGCGATTTTGAGCAGCGCCCAGAAGTGAAGTGAACTGACTGTGGTGAGAGCGTTCTTTCGAGTCCGGTCTTTCTTCATCTTCCCTCCAGCTGCACGGACACTGACTCTGTTCTCCCCCCCCAGGAAGCCTCTGCAGCTGGGAGCTCCACAGAAGCACTTCTGGGCTTCTTTCCTAAAGCAGAGGAAAATTAAAGCATTCGTGAAACATTTAACTATTCTGTTATGATTTCACACATGAATAAAAGAAATACCCGTATCTCTGAAACTGGTAATCAAATGTCAGTTCGGTTCCTGCACTGACTGCCTTGGTGGTGAAGAACCCGACTCTAAGCTGGCCATTGACTGTCCACTGAAATGAGATGAAAATCAACAGTCAGCGAATGCGCATGTTAACTGAGCGGTGTTATTCCAACTACTTCTTTGGCCGATGTACCTTTTGGGTCTCACAGTTGGGCTCACAACTATGGTTCATAAAGCGAGAGCAATTACCCTTCAGTGTTGCATCGATGATCTGGAGAGACATAATGCAAAGTCAAGCATTTCAGATCATCAACTAATTAGCTGTAATAATTTACCAATATTTGTGAGCACTGCATTTCCCCCTGAATTTACTTACCTCATTATTCTTTAGAGCCATGAAATAGTAGTGGATGTTCTTGTTACGTGCATATTCTTTTACTCTTATTTTGAACTCTTTGTGGTCCAACACTTCCCCGCAGTATTCTAGCACAAAGGTATTTCTATGATAGAATCAAATAACACGCGTGTCAAGATCACCCCGATATTCATTCCGCAGCGCAGCTGTCAACGCTAGCCCTTCAGCGAAATCCTTACGAAGGCAAGTCCTTTGCTGCACGGAGCCCCCAGCCCTTGTCTTCGGTGAGGATGACTTCAAAGTCGGCGTGCTGCTTCATTTGAAAGCGTCGATTTGAGCAATAGTGTCCATTCAGGCACCGTGATGAGCTATGGTAAAACAAATCATTGTGTTGAGCTTCCTCGAACAACGCATACGTGTTCTGCGTATCACTTAACTCACCATTCAATCATCAGCAGCCTATTTAAACAGTCCTCCCCGCACGCCAATATTCCCCTTAACCGGTCCTGTTTAGGCAGCACTGGGCACTCGCACTGCATCCTCTTGATATCCCGATGAGATTTGCTCTTCTTTCTACAAACATTCAAAAGATTTCAAAGTCTCAAACTATATGTGATCGTTTGAATCTGTGAAAATCTTACCGTTCCGTTAGGTATAGATTCTCTTCAATCAGGTCAAAATATGGGGGCATCTTCTTTGTCTTGGCAAACTCTTTCCATCGATTGGAGTCTTGAAAGTGCTGCAGAGTGAGTGATGGGCGAAGCACATCAACTTTGACTTGAGTTTCTTTCGCATTCTCAACGTCTCCTTGGCGCTCCTTCTTGGCAGCGGGTCCAGCTTCAGCCTCGTTGTCCGAATCTGATTCGATCTCTGGCCGTCTTTTCTTGGGAGGGCCCCGGCTTCTGTGGGTCTTGAAGATGTCCTCCCTCGGTGGGTCAGGCACGGCGGACCACTTGCTGTTGCTGCTTATTTCGTGACCTTGTACAAAACCCGACGGCCCCAGTGGTTCACTGAGGTCGACGGTCGCTTTGCTTTGAATGGACGGCTTAGCCCGGCAATAATCGTCATGGTCATTCGTGAGTGAGTCTGGGTGGATTTCACCTGCAAGCTCCTGATAAAGATGGAGGTAGGGAGTTTTGCTGATCTGCTTGTCTGAGGTTTGGTGGTTCCAAGAGACACCGTGGTGTCCATGCTGCTGTGCGCTAGGAAATGTTTCTGAAAGTTTAGATTGGGGTAACAATGGCCCATGACTGCTGTCCGGCTGTTGATATGTACTACTGGGCTGTTCTGGCTGTGAAACGCTCCAGCTTGGGGTGAATCCGCCGCAGTCATTGATGCTGTCAACACTGGCAGAATGTTGGTAATGTGCGTGCATCACTTCATGGCTATTGTTAACATAATGCTGACCTTGCAGTTGGGCGTAATGTCCAGAACCGTCAAGGCTGTGTGTGAAATTAGTGACACCTTGGTGGACATTGGTCGGAAAGGTCCCATAAGGCTGTGAAACACCAATAGCGCCGGAACCCTCTAAATGACTCGTGCTATCAATCATATTACTTTGGGATTGGCAAAGAGCACCAGCGTGGTACGAAACACCTTCTAGTCTTTGTTGATAGTTGACTTGATATTGGACTTCATGACTACTCACATTGGCCAAATCATTTGTAATGTGGGATTCTGAAATAACTGGACTGCACGAAGAAGGCCCAGCGTCATGTGAGTCACTTGTTACGGTCGAATTCTTTGGCACAACCACAACAGAGTGCAGTCGTTTTATTGCCTCATCACAATCAGAGTCGTACTCGGAATTGTCACTATCACTGGCCTCGCTCTGTCCTCCGCCAGCTTCTGGACTAGCTAATGTATTATTTGATTCATTTGTGTGGGCATTTTTGTCAGATTTCTCTTCAACGTTGCCATTCCATCTCCCCACTTTTGCAACACTGTTGACCCGAGTTGCATCACTGTTGCACAGAGGCTGCACGAAGTTCGCTTTCTGATTATGGTCAATGCCAGTGATACCCTGTGATGATTCGCCATAGTTGTAACTATTTTCCTGCTTTGGCCTTTCCGTCTCCTGCTCCGGTATGGAATGCGTGCTCTGTATTATTTCTATCTGACTTTGGCTTTTGGAAAATTCTATTTTTTTCACGCAGACCACCTTTTTCGGTTGTTCGGCGCAAAGTGTATGCTGCGACTCTTGGCTGCCTGGGCCATTCTGCCCAACAATATCCCACCGAGACTTTTTAGTCGGACTGCTCTGTTTAGCGTGGTCCGCCCTTTGTTCAAGTGTCTTCAGATTCTCAGTTTCAAATAACTGCTCTGATGGTAGAGGTGCGTTTTTTTTAGCCTGCTCAGTGGCAATCACATTACATACCACTTCCGCCGGTTTACAGATCTGAGCATCAGGCGCGGCAGCTATATCAATTGCATTAGGCGCAGGCGTTGAAACTTGAGAAGATTCGACATCTTTCATGTCCACGCTGTGCACTATAACATCACTACTAGCGAATAAACTTACAGCAGTTGCACTTGAAGTCACTTGTGGTATATTTTGAGGAGAAAAAATATCCTTCATATTGTTTAGCTTTTCAAGGGTGGCATTTATGTGCAGCATGCTCTCATTTGAGCTGACAGCCGGTGCTATTTCTTTCTCCACTTCGAGGCTTGATTTTGGTCCATCTAACCTGTTATGATGCGTCTCTGTCAACTGGCTATCCTGGTGGTCATCCTGACTTTGCTTTTCAATACAATTTACACCGTGTTTTTCCTTTTCGCCGAGCAAACATGATTTTACAGTAGCTTCGTGTTTTGGTTCATCATTGGGGCCATGAAATATGTCTTTTGATTGTCTATCGTGTTCACTGGTTTCCTCGGAAGATCTGGAGCAGGTGTTCTGTTTAGAGTCAAGCCGATCCATTTTCTCTTCTATACAAGCTTCCTCTAAAACGGAACCTGCCAGTGATTTTTTCCTTTGATCAGACTCGGTGTCACTTGCGCTGCTTTTCAGGCGATTTTCATGCTCATGTTTTTCACTATCCACACGGGTATGTTGAGTGGATGAGATGGATTTTCTGTTCGTGTCTAATGTATGACTGCTGCTAGTTTTATAATGCCTGGCTTCCACACCTGGAGAGCTTTTGCGCTGGGGGTCGGAGTCTGACAGTCGCTTTGAAGTAGTCCTTTCTGACGTCGAAGATGAGGTTTGACTTCTTTTAGATAACTCTGACGAATGTGGCAAATCCGTAGATTTAGATCCTTTGTCGGATTTTAAGTAGGACGAGGACTTTGAATAGGTGGATGATCGACTAGAGTCACTTGTCCTTGTCCTCGTCTTGCGATGGTCATCTTCAGAGTCCGAGCTGTCCCGAGTTCTGTCGTTGCGAGAACGAGATCGTCGTCTGTCTCTTCGTGGAGAACCCCTGTATGATCTGCGATCGGAATCATGATAGTAAGACCTGTCTGAGCGGGACCCTCTCTCACCCCTCGATCTCTCTGATCTTGGGTGAGATGAGCTGGTACGAGAGCTTCTAGATTTAGACCTGGATCTAGACCTTGATCTGGATCTTCTACGATCTTTGTCTGATCGCAGTGACCGCGACGAGGTGTACCTAGAATCACGGTCCGATTTTGTATAACTAGTTGACCTTTCATGATTCTCAGATCGCTTTGATGAGCTTTTTTCCTTTTCCTCCCCACATGACCGAGGGGAAGACCTTTTTATTACTGCTTTGTGACTGTTTTCCAAATTTGTTTTACTTTTGGAGTCGACGGATTTGCGTCTGGAAGACATCGGGACTGGATCGTCGGTCTCTGTTCGTCTGTCGGTTTGTGACCTGGTTTTCCTTTTGTACACATTTGTATCCTGTTCAGTCGTGGAATTTTCCTCTTCTTTTCCTGAGGATGCAGCAGATTTCTCGAGACTCGATACTGTCCGTCTCTCAGATGAGTGACAGTGAATATCCTCAGAAGGGAAGACACTTACAGGGTTCTGATGCTGCAAAGTTGAAAATTTGGTTTCAATGTTACTTGGCGATTTCTGCAAAACCTGCAAATTAGGGGTGGGTGTCTCATCCCGAAGAACAGATGTTAGGTTTTCTCTAGTAACAGACACACTGAGAATTTGCTTCTTGAAATGCATCTTAGCCAAGTCCATTTTCAGCTTAGCAGCAAAGTTTGGAACTTGGGAAGATGTCGGTTCCGCTGAAATTGGCACTGCACAAGGCTGCTGCTTTTGTTCATTTTTACTGTCAGAAGCCCTTCCTTTGTCAATTGTGGGCTGTGATGAGGCAGTGTGAGGTTCAGTGTCAGACTTTTCGGGGCTTGAGGGGATAACAAAAATGCTCTGCAGTGGCTTCTTGGTCTGCGAGAAGCTGAAGGACACTTTCTGACGACTCTGATCATCCAGGTTGACCTTCATCTTGGTCCCTTTAGGCAAGAGATGGTTGGACAGCATGACTCGAGGAGACAAACTTTTGATGAGAGCTGCCTTAGAAAGGCCCTCGACCTTGACCTACAGTCAAAAGAGAGACAAAACCTATAATTGGTTGAATCCGCTGTCTATGCTAGACAATGAACTACACAATCAAATGTTGCTGTGATTTGAATTTCTTCAGGTTTGCTCAACTGACACAGTGATTCTCAACTGGTGGGCTGGGACCCACCACTGACCTATTGTGGGCGAGTTGTGGGGAAACTATTTTTTTTACTTTGTGATATGGTATAGTGCCCGCACGAATCGGCAATGGTGGAATTTGCCGCGGATTTCAAAACTCTCCGCGGAATTGAAAGCTTTAAAGTTTTCACTTTGGAAAACAATGACCGAACCAGTAAAGGAGTCGGTTTCAAACAGTTTGGTGAGTACAATGTCAATCCCTCTTGTGTGACTGTTGTTACCTTGACTGCTGTGAGTTGTTTTTTATCATTAAACAACATCAAATAAACAAGAAATTGTTAACAAACAGTAATGGGGGTGCGGGATTGTTTTGTATTACACTTCCATGGAAAATAAAACAGATAAATCAGATTGTTAATTAATCGATGGCAAAAAACAATTCGAAAAATATTTGACAGTGACAGCACTAGTCAGAGATAGAACACATAACGGTCACATCGCAACAATGGTAAACTTCGTGTCCCAGGGTGACAACAGTTAAGAACCACTGGTCTAACACATATTCAAATTCATCGAATGGACTTACCGAGGCACCACTTCCTTCGTCTCTGAGATACACGGGAACAGCATGGAGATATAAGAGAGAGAAGAACACTTTATTAGTACAAGGTATGTCAAAAAAGTTTTACATTACTGTAAAAATAAAGACTATTAAATAAGAAACATTGTTGGCCACTTGACAACACTTCTAGTACAGAGGCAGAACACTTGGTTCTGTAGCAGACTTTGTGACCTCCTGGATGAGTCGTCGTCGTGCTCTTTGGGTAATTTTTTTTGTCGTCCGCCTGTGTACCACCGTTCCATGCTTTCTTCATTTTTGGGAAAAGACTCTCACCGTAGTCCACAAGAGCCTTAAAGTTATAAGAATGGCTTTGTCAACATTTTCAGACTGAAAGATGTCAATTACTTTCTTCCTCGTCTTTTCTTGGATGCCTTTAGATCGTGGCATTTTGTTGCAGCTTTCTGAGATATTTTGGCTGACTTCATTTTGTCAGGTGATTTATTGATTGAACTAGTCTGCAGGTCATCAGGCTTAGGTGTTGGTCAGTCAAAATGAACTCGGCTTTTCCAAAAAAAATGTGATTAGCCACAGTTCATGATTTAACAAGGGAGGCAAGTTGCATTTTATGTTTCCTTGGGTTATCTTTGTCCTGCAAAAGTCCCATCAACACAGAATACGACGACTATTATGCAAGGTCACCATCCCACTTCGCTTCATTCCGCTAAGAACTCACAAATCCACACGTTATTTAAATAATTTTTAAAAGATACCAACTCAAATATTTAGCTGTAATTTTAGGTACTGTATGTCTTGAGGGCACCTACATTGTTACTAAAAATTAAGTTCTGCTCATTTGTCAATAAACATCTTATAATCAAATCACACTCCTTGCATTTTTTTTTTTTTTTTTTTTAATCGCCTGCTTTGGGCATGACAGATTGAATCAGTACATAAGTATCTATAGTAAATAAGTTATTTAAACAACAACTGATCCATCTTGTCATCGGATCGGTTTATTTAAACTCCCTGATCAAAACTAAAAATCCCGATCGTGTAAAGCCTATTCGCAAGAGGAAATGTTCATGATTGATGACATCTATACATCTACCCGCAGTGATGCCTTTGAACCAACACAAGCTGACTTGCTGGCTCAACAGTAATGGAACCAGTCAGTGATGGGCACATCAATCCAGCTGTCATCAGGCCATCATTATTTCAGGCTGGCCCAGTCCTTCTGAGTCGTTGGCGACAGCCAATTGGCATTGAGTAGGTACATACTTGTACGACGTAACACGCATGCATTGCACAAGTAGACAAATGATTTTTTTTTTTGATCTAGCTGCATGTCGGCTTGTGCAGCGCCTGCGTGTGATGCAGTTAATACACTCTTGAAGCCAAGTGGCTGTCACAGACGAGGGATGTACTGGGTCCACGTGGGCCAGCCTGAAATACTGTAATGACAGCTGCTAACAGAATGACTTGCCCACCACTGGCAGCAGCCTGCCCAATACTTGCATAATTTAGGAATGTGGGGAGGTCCAAGGGTGCAAGGAATGTGTTACGATGTGGGTATTCCGATAAAAGCAGATAAAAACGAATCATGAAACGGCTAATAGTTTCTGCAAATATGGCTCAGAGAAATCCGAAAACCCACTGGCTGTATCTGTCTAGATTTGACAGTTAAAGACTTTGTTGACTCAACCTTGAACATCATTGCTAACAACTGAGAAATTAGCAAATAGGTGTTATCATTCAACATGTAAAATGACTGCAATTCATGAACTTTTCTTTCGTTCTCATTTGGCAGATAAAAGTACATAAGTGCTTTCCTTGGTGCAAGCTCACTAAGTGTGCTTGGTATCTGGGTCATTTGATCCTTAAGGGCCCCCCCCCCCCCACACCCCCGATCGCTAATGCAGCATTCAAGACAAATTTGCAGGAAAGCAGCTACAAGAAAATGCCTACACTCACACCAGTCAAAGGCTAAACGTATGCAAGCCTTACTGCCAATATTATATGTACTAATCGCGTCGAAACATAAATGACTAAGAACCAGGTTACAGCAATCTTAATCGGATGACTTTTGTATTTACCTGCTACCACTGTGTTGCATATTCTGGAATGTTGGCAACACTACATAGAACGTAAAAACGGAAGACATGAAAGAACAAAGTTCAAGATATTAACATGAAGACGAAGCAAACACTAACACAGTGAAATCTCGAAAGATAAATTCCCAGATACCTGTGCCTGGACTTGTATATGTAATGTGCATTTGCATATTTGTGTAACATTTAAAGGGCTGGGAAAATTTTTAACCAACTCGGTTGAATCGACTACAAAAATTGTTCGACACAAAAACGTATAGCTCAAAATGAATTATTAGTTTATTATTAATTTTGTGATGCTCGGACATTTGTTGCCGTGAACGGCCGGGCACTTGTATCACTCTTCCGCCAACAGAAATATCAATCCAGGGACTAAGCCCATTGTTTTTATTCTTTAAATGGTCAAATTCATGGTTCACAAGTCGTCGTGCACACCCCATATTAGTGCCCACATCACAAGCGTTGCCATCCAAAGATTCCTTTCTGATGACACTATGCTATGACGCATTCCGACTTGAATGGGAAAATTCTGATCCAGCGTTAGTCAATTAGCTGCTCAGTTTGAATCACAACCGATTCGTGCACAGCCCTACCAAACGCAAATCAAAAAGGCTCAGAAAGTTCTTGCGAAATAACTGCTTTTTTTCAAGACGCCAACGTTCTTGATGTCACGCAAGGTGTCAGTTCAGATTCTCAAAGGCTTAATTAAATTTAGTTAATATATTACCAAATGAAAGCAGTCGCTCTGGAACATTTGCAGAAACTTCATTTGGCCATGAGATTCTTTGCGGTGACTCAATTAAAAGGAAGGCCACTGTAGACCATAACACCTTCAAGTGACCTTCAGCAAAATAGTCTAAATATACCCCTATTTATGTATTAATGCTGTGATTCAATCAATGTCAAATCAAGTCATAACCTGAAATATCGAAATTGAATTGTGAGATTCTTAACAATACCCTTCCCTAGTTACTTCAACATTTTTTCAACCTCAACACCTCATACACAGTAAATTCTGTGTTGTCTGCCATCTAATACCTGATTTCTGACTTGAGCAGAGTGTCCATTGAGAAACTCGTCTAGGATTAGTGGGCCTGCGGACGTTGCTTGGCCAAGAATAATCCAAATCAGAGAAACGAACCCTCCAAAGTGACGCCACACCTGGCAAAAAGAAAGATAGGTTTGCAATGAACTGTGGTGTGTGTCCATAATAGCCAACAATAAGTCCAACAAGCGTTTTGCCTTATCAAACAGAGGCACTTATTGAATAGTTTTAGCGTATGCATGTAGAGAGCACATGCTGTTGACCGTTGGCTTGGCTGACTTCCACTGAAGCCTTCTCTCAAGATGGTTATCAATGACTGCAAAGAGCAAAGCAGTCGCATACTTTCAGGCAGACTATGTTGTCAGTTATGCTTGATTTTATTCAGTGCGGATTTGATATGTGGATGTGGATTTGCATCCCAAGAAAAAAATGAATACATAAAAAAGCCAGTTTGTTGAAAAACGGAATCATAAAGATTAAAAGTAGGGACACCATTGTAATTGGTAAGGCTAAGGAACCACCCCAGGAATGTAAAATATACAAACCAATTACATAACTCGTGATTGCCATACAACAATAACACACTGTAAAGAAACATGGGTTGTTTGGAAGCATTTGCAAAGGAGGCTCAACATGGCCTGTGCGGGAAGCCTTAGTGCAGCCCGACATGGCCTTTTAAAAGCCAGTTCCTGTCCATTTTCAAACCGAGTGTGTAATGTACAACAAGGCAATTCAATCGATTCCACTTGATTCCGCTGTAAAATATGTGGTTGATACATGAAATACGGTTATGTTTAACGGACAACCGGCCGCAATTTTATCATAACATTTACGTTTTGATGATAATTTACACAAAAATGCCCAACCCAACAGAGCTAACTTCTGTAAGCTAATATTAGCATCGACATGGTTTATTCGTTTGTTTTGATTCAAATATCCCCAATGAGTATTACATGTTATGCTTGGAAAAATCGATGTAAGTATTTGTGTTCGACTTGGCCAAAGAGGGGAGTTATCAATTGTCTTTCTGTGCCTAGAAGGTTAATCTTGGGTGAGCATTAGCTGCTAACTAGGTTACATGTAACTAGCAGCGTGGAGGCTAACGTCATCGTTTACAACCCTTGTTCTTCATCTCGTTTGATTTTTAAAACATTATTTGGTGAATAGTTTGCAGAATTTTGTTTGGCAGGCGTTGTGAATAGTAGTACGCCCTGGTTTCATGAAACCGTCCATCCGGCATCACCAGCATGCTAGCAGGGGGGAGGTTTTGTTTTAGCTTAGTTGCATGTATGGTTCGCTTGAATCCATACAGCGTAAGTAAACACTTGTGTCTTTTAGGGGATACTCACTTTAGAAAGTGTTTTAGGTCAAGAGACTCTTCCATCTTCGAAATTCCCAAGACAGTGTCCTTCGCCGAACATCAAGCCCCAATGCGTTCCCACGTCAAATCCGTCCGGGGTTGTCAGAGGTGATGGTCGGCTGACGTGCTGCTGAGTGGCTCCGCCGCTTGCGCCTCAGTCAATGTTGTGTTAGCCAACTAGCATTAGCTCACACTTAGCCAACTTGAGAAGACAGTGCGAGTAGTGCATCTTCACAATAATTGTGTCGACAACGAGAACAAGCCCCCACGATATGCTTCAATTTATCCCACGTTTCGGTCCACTAGAAACAAACGAGACGTTTACATTTTCCTCTGCGGTATTTGGTGTGTCTTGTTGCAGCGACGTCACATGATGCACGGACACAGCTGGCATGGCCTGGTCTATAGTCAACACTGAACTGTAAATCACCCTGGCCCCTGTCCAACAATGTGTCTCGGACATATCAAATACGTGCAAGAGATACGAGAAAACAAATTAGTATAACGTGTGTTTTGTCCACGTTTAATTTGATGGGCAAATGGTGTTTATGAGAGGTGGCAAAAGTACTCATAAAGTTGCCTAGACTTATGTGGGGGAAAAAAAACGTTCAAGAGAGCTACTGTCCTGATTCAGCTTGCTTCAATGCACGCGTAAAAATGTACACACTCAGAGTACACAAAAATGTATTTAAGCACAATATTATATTAAAAAAAATCTGAGAATTGTAAAAATTGTAAACTTTCCATTGAGATTAATGTAAATAAAACACGAATATAAAAATGATGGTTGGCTCTTAGGTCGGCTTCTTAAACTATACTTAAGGAAAATCCATTTTAATACATTGGTTCACTACCGGCTCAAAAAAGAATTAGTGGTGGTTGGGTGATGGATGCAACAGGATAATGACCCAAAAGCACCAGAGAGAGTCCACAACAGAATAGCTTTTTCAACTGCCATCTTGAAAGAGTAGTTGAGTAATCTCACCAACAGTCAGTCTAGAGCTGATCCTATCTAGCCTTGGTGCATAAACTGATTAAAAATGCTCAGGTGAGAGGCAAAACAAATGCCTTATAAGACAGCTAAAATAGTCAATGCCCTGAGAATAAAATGACTAGCATGACTGAGAATGCATTATACACAGGCAAACCCATGAATGTTTCTAATCTCAAAATGTATCACTTTTGGCTATAAGAGTGGACTGGGGTTGATTTACACAAAATTGCAAATGATAAAGCATTAAATGGAATACTGAATATCAACTAGGCCTACTAAATGTATTCATCTATCCATTTTCTAATCCGCCTACTGGTATCCTCACGAGGTTCGTAAGCATGCTGGAACCTATCCCAGCTGTTTTTTGGGCAGTTGGCAGGGGACACCCTGAACTGGTTGCCAGTCAATTGCCAGGCACACATAAACGAACAACCTTTCGCACTCACACTCACACCTAGGGACAATTCAGAGTGTTTCAATAACCTGCCATGCATGTTTTTGGAATGTGGGAGTGAAATCGGAGTACTTAGAGAAAACCCACGCAGGCACAGGGAGAACATGCAAACTCCACACAGGAAGGCTGGATGGGAATCGAAACCTGCACATCTGCACAATAAGGCGGATGTGCTCACCAGTTGAACACCGTGACGCCCACCTGCCAAAAGTAACAAAAATAAATCAGCATAACATATATTTACTGTAAAAGTGCCATCTGGTCTGAAGACAAGGTAAAAAGGCAAAAAAGTTTTTGTACTTTGTGTGTGTCCCTGATCCACTGGTGAAAGGACATTTTGATACTCTCCTCTTTCATCTATAACTGGTTGAAATAACAAAGAGTATGTAGAAAAGTGGTTCAGATTGAATGACCTTCTGTATTTTATGCGTTGTGTTGTATTATTTTGTTATTATTTTATTATGACTTCATGATGGCGCTGCGAGAGTGGCTGCCTTTACAGCAGCTCCTATACTTTTGGTTCTTCTACTTTCTTCCTATCATAATTGCTGCTGTAAATTGGGAATTTCTCTATTGTGAGACGAATAAAGGTTTTCTTATTCTTATCCTTATTCTTATTGTTTCTCAATACTTTTTCGTGCCTTCATCATGTAAACGATAAATAGTGTTGGCACTGCTGTTTTGAATATGTTTGTTATTTTATTTTACCTAATCTTACTCTTTTAAAGTAAATATGCTTTGTAAATAAACATACAAGATCAATTTTCCACGGTGTCCTGAAAATACAAGAACTGTATGCATGTTGCGACTCGCGGCCAGCGGGTGGCGCCATGTATACTTATTCAGAGTTGGTGCTGCGTTTTTTTTTTTTGTGAGCGAAGAAGACGAACAACGGCTGCTGCAAAGACGCAAGCAAATCTCGGCTGTGCCAAATTTTGTTCGCATTGTTGCGAATACTTGCACAAGAGTCATCTTGTCGCTTTTGTAAGTTGTGTTGTTGGTTAATGTGGGTGTTTCACTGTCATATTGAACACATTGTTTGGATCTGGAAGGAATTATTGGGAGAGGCCTCGGTAGGTTTGTGGCTAATGTTTGTTAGCATTTTGCGAAGTCGTTTTGTCTGACGATCCAGCAGTACTACAGCGTTGAGCGAACTCAAGTAATGTCTTCGACCTATGGGATGGATGGGTATTGGATAAAGCACACTGCTTTCTGGATGTGCGTCGTTTGACCGTGGGCGGATGGCCACAACGGGTAACGTTTGTAATGGCGGACAGACTTGTGGAGCTGACGTCAACTTGGCCTGCAGTAATTTACAGGGTGAGACTGGTTTAAAGGTTTAAAGCGTGGATGTAAGGTTTTATTGAATGTCCGTCGAGAAGCTAGTCGTTTTCCGCAGATGGTTGTTTGAATCTCATAATTTACATTATATGGCATTCTTTCGTCCTTGAATACAATTGCGTGGTGTGTTAGTGATGTGTATTTCCAGTGTCTCCCAACCGTTTCCTGAGTGTGTATTCTCCACTGCAAAAATGTCATGGCAAAGCACTGAACACAAAATGTCCAAAAGTGCGGGTCTGTCTATCTGTATGCGCTGAAATAATTATCTCGTCTCTATTTACTCACAAATTATTGTATGAAATCTTGGCCTTTTGAAGAAAGACAGGCACGAGTTAAAGGGTAAGACAAGTCCAAATTGTTCTTTACAATAAAAAGTTCTATGTGGCACCAGTAGTCTCAACATGATATTCGGATTCATAATGCATTTTTTAAAATATGATTTAAGCAGCAGAATCCACCGGTTTTTTATCCATATCAGTGGGCAGCCGTTTGCCACTTGCTCTCGAGAGAAAACGAAATCACAAGTGCCCAAGGGCTCAGGTTATGAGCAATTGCCTTCACAAGCTCAGCCATGAATGGTCTTTACCTGAGCCCCGAGCAATTTTTAGGTTTTCAGTTGACAGCAAGTGGCATAATGGCCTCCCACTGAGATGGAAAAAAAACGTGTGGTTATTGCTCATGTTATGTCATGCTAATGTAGTCCACGCCTTTACATATTGTTTCATTAAACATGAAAAGTTTAAGTGATAAATCCTCAGGTTTGCATTACTGTCATTATCTGATTTGATGCGCTATGGACTTACATTTACACCACACTTGTCTGGTAGAATTATAAATTGTGGTGAATGGTTACAAGACTGCAAGTCAAAGTGTTAGTTCACAATTCTAATTAATTTAGAGAAACTGTCTTTCATATTTTTTAATTTGCCTTAATTTAGTGGTAGCCTATCCTATAAAACCAAACCATTTCTGTATATTTAAATACATCAGAATTTTATTGTAATACCGATACAGATAAGAAAAAAACCTTTGTTGAGAAAAAAAAAACTACATGGGAAGAGCACCTTGAACAAAATAATAGCAGATTGCCTCAATTGCAAATGCACAACTGAGGCAGAAAAAAAAATCACAATGTGAGATTATTTTTCAAAATTGCCCTAATCCGATACCACATCTAATCTCGACGCACATAGTGGGAGGGAGTCACTTATACACAGCATAATTACTTATTGGTCTGTGTTGCTTGATGTTGTTTAGCAGCAGTTGAGGAATAGTGGATGTAATGTGGGTCACTGGTTGTCCGAAGTGGAGGACAGCCACATTCTCTTGTGCACTTTTTAATACCCTCTTTTGTGTACGGCTATGCTGGTGAACAAAAGGGTGGGCATCCACGGTGTTTAGTTGTGATTGGTCATTGACTGGAATTTTATTTTGTAGTGTCGGACACTGGATACGATATTGTAGGTGTACTGTTGATTGTGCGATGGACAAAGGCTGTCACATACGATGAAGTTTTGTCAATTGGTTGTTAGTTTTTCTTTCAAACTATTTGCTGGTAGGCAAGTAACGGAAAATGTACAAGCGTTGCTGTCAGTGTTTAGTGTGAATTGAATTTGCATTACTGAAATTCTTTCGCTGCTTTGATGTATCAAAACACTCTAAAATTGGGTTCAAAGTGTTGAACTTTTTGCGATGGGTTTTCCACTTCTGCGTTTCACATCGAAATGCATGATGGAGGAAAGTCGCTTTCTCCACATGCAGTTCTTGTGGACTGCGGAAAAATACGTTGGTAGTGTGATGGAAAAAATATGTTGGTAGTGTGATGGACAGCTTCTGGGTGGCTCATCAATCAGTGTTGGTTTGATAAAGGTTTGGACCAGTGATGGTTATGACTGACCTCTCTGGATGGGAGAATTTGGGGGAAACGGTTCCTTTATTAGTGATGTTCCTAAGGACTTGCATTTCGTTGAAACGTCTTCACCGAACAGGGTATCTCGAACATTCTGTTTACAAGCTACGTAATTGGCAACCGCAGTGGTGTGATTAATAGAAATGTTGACTAGTTTCTCAGCCTATAATGCAAATTGTGCCAGAGGCGTTGATGAGGGTTTAACGGTTTGTCTTGTATGTTTTGACTTTAGAGTGGTGTTTTGAGACGGAAGTGACTCTAGTTCACTTTGCCAAATAGCCCTTCTCAGGCGATTTGGCAGTAACACGAGAATAGGTTGACATTTCCATTCTTTGCAATGTGGAAAGATGACATTGAGATGTGAGTGATTTGAGTTACGAGCATGATCACGGAATAAATTAAACTCGTGAGTAGAGCACAGGCTAATCGATGAATCCAAACCTATGATATGACAACTTAATTGAAAATCGAGTGCTGGTCAGTTTAGTGCTGTTGTGCTTGGTGTCGCCATCCTGAGCTGTGGGCTTCAATACATTTTCTGACTTACTGTTTTAAATGGAGTTGCTTATCAGGTGGTGGTGAGTGACATGTTGGAATGGAAAGGAGTGTAGAGCTCCAAGGCTTTGATGGGAATAATGTTATTCTATACCCTTCTGTCTGCAGGTGCTGTTGTTTGTGCTTCAGTATGGCAGTCGTCATCCGTTTACAGGGATTGAGGATCACTGCCGGTTCTCAGGATATTCGCAAATTCTTCACTGGACTCAAAATTCCAGATGGTGGTGTACACATAATAGGAGGCGAGCAGGAGGAAGCTTTCATTATTTTTGCTTCTGATGAAGATGCGAGAAGAGCGATGACGCGCTCGGGGGGGCAAATTAGGGGCGGGGCCGTGACTTTGCTGCTCAGTAGCAAAGCAGAGATGCAGAGTGTATTTGAGCAAAGTGCCATAAATGCAGAGATGGAGCAAAAGAGAAATGTTGAAGATGACACAAGGCATGCCCGAAGATCTGTGGAGGCCGACACCAACAAGAGGTCAGCAAGTAGAGCGGACATCAGTCCTCCACCACGCCAAAAGAGATCCTCAAACTCAAATGAAGACTCCCCGTGTGTTTTTCTCAAAGGACTGCCATTCAGTGTGTCTGAAAGAGAGATTTCTGAATTTTTCAGTGGTTTGCGTATCGTTGACCTCGTCCTGTTGAAAAACGCCACCGGAAAAAACAACGGGATGGGTCTCGTGAGATTTTCAAACGCTGCAGAAGTATCGGAAGCCTTGAAAAGGGATAGGGGATACATCGGTTCTAGGTATGTGGAGATTTGTCCGACGTCAGAATACGACTGGCATCGGTCAACTGCAAGGCAATCCATGAGAGCTAACCCGGGAGGCGCCCAGTTTGAAAGACGTGGATCGCCTTCACATGGTCAAAAGAATTTCCAATACCATATGAGGTCGCAGTCACCTGTTGGCCATAGGGGGTCATCGTCCAGTGAGGAGTACTGTGTTATGGTGGAAAACCTCTCCTTTGCTGTGGAAACCGAGGACATGAAAAGACTTTTTCACCACGCGAGACTGGATGATGACCAGATCTTGTTCATTAATTTTGACGACCGCAAAAGTAGGTCTGCATTTGTACTCTTTAAGACTCTTCGAGAGTATCGTGAGGCATCCGAGCAGGAGACAAAACCCTTTTTCAATCGATTGATTCATATCCGGCCAATCTCAAGAGAAAAAATGATAGCCATCTTTGAGTCTCAGAAAATGGAGGTTGGCCCTTCTGGAAACTCCAGAAGGAATAATGAGAGGCTTCCATTTAACACCATGGATCATTCTGACCCCGAGAAATGCTTGCTTGTGCAAAATCTGCCCTCAGACGTGCGTAAAGCGGAGGTCCTGGACATCTTTGGGATGAATCTCTCGGAAGATGACGTGCACTTGCTGCGTGACAATACAGGTGCAGGGACTGGCAGGGCATTGGTTCTCTTCCATTCCGAGTCAACTGCCATGAGGGCTCTCTCTCTCGACGGACAAAGGTTTCTCGGCGCAAAGATTTCTCTCAAATACATTACACGTGCTCAGATGCGGGAGTTGATCGCCGGGCCACCGCGAAGATTTACTGAGTACCAGGGTTCTGGTGACGGCGAGTACTCTGACTTCAGGAGCCCTCATCCTGGTAATATGCCAATGAATACAGGCTATAAGTCTTATGGCGACTCATTTGACAGGGGCAACGGGGCTCGTAGCGGTGGTGGTCCACCAAGACAAGATTTTACCGAGCCCACATGTGTAAAGCTAATTAATTTACCATTCCAAATAAAAGTAGAAGAAATCTATGATTTTTGCCATGGATATCGTATTATCCCGGGATCCATATCATTGCAGTATGACAGAGGCGGCGCATTTAAAGGTACCGCAACCGTGGTTTTTGAGACTCGACAGGAGGCAGTTATAGCAGTGGAGGAACTCAGTGGGAGGCCAATAGGTGCTCGAAAGATTCAGCTACTGCTTCTTTGAAAGTGACTTTGGGATTTTGATGGCCAGAACGCTCAAGTGTTCTGGTTTGAAATCCTCAAATTTGATAGTTTGAGGGAAGTTGTAGTTTTATTTTGTCTTACGACATTTGATGTCCCCACCCTCTGTGTTTTATTTTGTGGTAACTGGGTTTTTTATTCATTGTCTATTTGAACGGCACTTATGTCACTGATGCGCAATTTGCATTTACATTTTCATCTTACATAACATTTGACTGCATCCAGGGGAAGTCCCATTATGCTATTGTTTACTGTACGTGGGATATACAATTCATCAACCGCTTATTGTGATGCCTATTAAAAAGACTGCTTCTCATTCACTTGTTCTCCCCGACTTTTTTTTATATATTTTTTCTAAACATGCATTAATTGTGTCCTCTGCCTCACCCCACTAATAATTTGGGATGTGTATATGTTTAAAATCTTAATAGAGGCAGCAGTTTGAATTACATAAAATACACGTAAGCTTTCTTTAAACTGTATACAGAACAAAGCACGAGACGGTTAGTTGACAAATAGGCTTTACTTTGAAATTTCTAGCGCTTTTATTTTGAAACCATACCGGATTTGACGGGATTTATTTGACCACTTTTATGCTGTCCGAGGTGGGGCGAGGTGAATGTCGGCTAAACACTGAAGAGCTGCTGAAATCCAACTACAGGTGAATTAAGACATTCATATTTTATCAAGAGTAAATACAGAACCAAGTTTATGTGGACACTTGACAAAAAAACCTCCGATAAAGGTTTACGTCAACATTTTTTAATTGCTCCAAAGTATTTGAAGGCCAGAGCAACGCCATCAATTAAGACCGTAAAACTGTTGTTCCTTGTTAAAAGTAAAACTTGTGATCAATAGTGCGTAAACACTTTCGTAAGTAAACGCAAACTTGTGAAAGGTTAAGATAGTTTTCATCCGCGGACATGCACTTTGCACAAGAACGATCCCGTTTATTAAAGACGGCCAACACGTTTTCACGTTTTGCACATTGAGTGTAAAAGTAATAAACAATTGTAGAATGCTTCCTACAAAGAATGTTCAATCCTGTTTAACGTGGCGACCGAGTATCGGCTCCATCCTTACCTAAACGTGGCAGCAAAACAATTTTGCTCCGCGTAATTAAGCGGTTAACTTTTTGAGAAAATAAAATTCTAGTTTGACCATCGTTTAGCATTCACAATATTGGTACTTAACACACTGAAAGCTTAAATGGTGACAGACTGAAAACTGACAAAATGTACATTTTTTTCCCACGTACGTCACTATGTATTCAGCGATGCTGATTTTCATCGTGGAGTTGAAAGTCACGCTGTAGCATCGAATGATACAGGCTGTGCAAACACATTAGTTCAAAAGTCACTTTGCATGTCAGTCATCCCATAAATAAACGATAGAGAAGGCTAACGGTGTTTGGTAAAAATGCAAATATCAATTGGTTGGTCTTATTTTAGAAAATTTGCGTCAAAGTGTACATTGTTTCAAGAACTACATTGTTTCAAGAACGTCGACATTTTGTCCAGCGATGCACACTGGTTAACAAACATCACCTCGCAGTTTTGTTCGAGAACCTTGTTTCCTTTGTCACAACCAATGTTTCATATCAAACTGTTCTGAGAGCCACTCCCACAAGTGTCTGCTATCATGACTGCAAATGAGATTTGTCAGTGTGCACCCACAGAAAATTAAGAATCAAATTTATGCCCTTCACTAAATAACAGGAAGTGGGAGTTAAGTCAATCAATACTCGTTCAAATCAAGCTAAGGCATTTGCCTTGTCTTCTTTTAAGAATAGGATTGCAGTGAATTTATTTTCAGACTTATTTTTTTTCTTGTCAAGTGAAAATCCTTGTCCCGGACAAAACTACAGGATAAAAAAAAAAATCTGAAATAAAATTTCAAACCCAAACTTACTTTTCAAGGGGTTGGTACCCATGAATGTTGAGTAACGAGTACAAGATCAAGTCCCTGTGACTGGCTAGTGACCAGGCCGTGGTGTACCTCGTCTTTTCCTCAAAGTCAGCTGGTATGGGCCCCAGCTCACAGCAATCCATGGATATGGATGTATAAATGTGTTTGTTTGAATCGAATAATCACAAATTCCGAGCAACAGATGCTGCTAAACCCTACTGTCGAACAAAATGCATACACAAAGGATCAATATCAGGCTTTGAGAAAAGTCTCAAAGCACATTTGAACCTTACTGACATCAGAATGGAGCTATCGAGGCGACGAACTCTCCAGAAGCATCTCGAGCCTGCAAGACCCCTGCGCCGCCTCCTCCCTGTTGGCAGTGGTGCCTCAACTGGTAAAACACACATCAGTAAAAAGCTTGGTTGTGTGTGTGTGTGTGTGTGTGTGTGTGTGTGTGTGTGTGTGTGTGTGTGTTCTACATATGGAGTTAATCACCCACTCCTTTTAATGTATACGTAATCTTTTTGTTCATTTAGAACCCACAGTAAATGCTGCTTCGTGTGCACAGACATTAATTGACATTGTGGATGAAAAGGTAAGAAATGTTTCAGGATAGCGCAATCCACTGGAATGTCAGTCACCCTTAGATTTGTTCACCTTTAAAGAATTAAAAAAAATGTCAGGAAACCATTGTAACTGTATAGGCATTGTTTTAAATAAGGTTTTGTAGCACATTTGTTTACATGCATATATACATATACAGTATATATATGTTCAATTTTAATATCACAAAGAGACAACCTAACGAAATACAAAATGGACTGTCAAAATGCCAAAATAATTTATTAAGGCAGATCACAAATAAATAAATAAAATCAAACCTGTCCCGACGTGGAAAAGAAATTGCCCCCTGAACCTCATCACGAGTTGTGCCACCCTTGGCAGCAGTAACTGAAATCAAGCGTTTTGCTGAAATATAATTTCCTGCAAAAACGCCATTTATGCACCTTGATTAATTAACTCTCATATGAACCTTTTGAAAAGCCCCTCTGAATAATTTAAAGTGACAAATGATGGGCAGCTTGATTTTTTTAAATTTTAGTTCTGATGTTTAATGAAACGTGGTTTTAATAATCGTGTGTACTGTATTTCGCAGACAAATATTACAGTCGAGCAGTTCTTCAAGATCGTCAATCCCCAAGACCAGAAAAAAAGTAACATCCAGAATGTTTGTTTGTTTCACTGATTTTTCTGAGACGGTTTGACTTTTTTTTTTTTCTACTCCTTCCTAATATGTCTTTACAGAGCGATTGTCTTACTCTCATGATTTTTTAATTGGTCTTGCAAGTTGTTCTGCAGCCAAGAAGAGGCCAGAGTTTTTACCAGACCACCCCATAGTCTTACCCAAAGCAGTAAGTCCACCTGACAAAAGTGTCAGTTAAGAAACATTCTTTCGGGATAGAATATGTATTTGTTGATATTGTTTCAACAGAGAGATCCAAGTTTTCTGACGGTAAATAAAAGCAGTTGGAGTAATGGAAAAAAGGAAGAGGAAGTGTGAGTGCTTTTTTGTGACTTTCTTCAATATTCTAGTATGCTTTTCATGTTAAGTTTTTTTTTTCCCAGCAGCATCCTGAAAGTTTTGTGCTAACAGAAGTGCTCTCTTTTGACCTGTTCAAGGTTCGATCTTGACTCACGCTTTGATTTCACTGTTGAAATCAACCGCAGTGATTGTTGTTCAAATTTGAAAGAACAATTTCAATCTGCCCTGCTCGATTTTGCTTTTTTTTTTTTTTTTTTTTTTTTGCATAATGCAATACTATCAAGTCCCTTTCTGATCCTTAAAATGGCTCTAAAATAATTTAAATTAGAATATATTAAATATCTTGAAATGCAATTTCCCTCGAATGCATTTTGTCAAAGTCCTATTAACTGACCCATACTTAGCCGAGCTTTTCTGTGCATTGTGGTGTTTATATTTGACCGTGGTAATCTATCCATCCATTTTCAGTACAGTTTATCCTGTTCCAGGGTCAAGGTGTGCTGGGGCCCATCCCGGCCTACCTCCGGCAAAAGGCTGACAACACCCGAGACTGATCGCCAGTCACGGCGTATAATGGAGGCAGACAGCCATATCCACCATCACTGAGTGGTAACTGAACCCACGCAGTCAATTGAATGTACCACTTCACCATCAGTGATGCACCTGAGTTGTAATTTCTCTTTACTTGCCCTATTATTTATATTTTCTTTCCAAGAAAGATTGTTCTATTGCATCCAGTTGTATTGTTATATATTTGTATTGTGATTGATGTTTGCCAATCTGTATTCTGTTACAGTGTTCAATAAAACATTGGTGAGAAATACCCACATGTCATGGTGTCAAGAGAGATAGATGCCTAATGTACATACCGGTACATGGATGCTTTTAATGGGGGGCCTTTCAATGATTTTAACTTATGAAAAATTTTATTCAACTTCTTAATGGTTTTTCAATGTAATTTTTCTACTTTTTCCATCTTGACATGTCTTGTAAAGTACTCTGGGCCTTTGCATGTGAAAGCTATTGCTTAAATACACGCAGAGCTCAGCCACAAAATGGTTGTCAAGATCAAGAGACAGTCTAAAACGCTTGAGGTGAAAAAGTTTAATGTCTGAAAAACGGATTAGACATTACCAAAATTTGTGTGAGCATCTCTTATTCCTGCCCAATTCAACCTCTTAAAATATTAAAACCATCACTGTAATATTTTGGATTTCATGGGCATTGTTTTCCTCTCTAGAGAAAAAGCGTAACATCGCTTGTTTAGTGTCCGAAAACTGCGATCAAACGTCACCAAAATTAATGTGGACATCCCTACTTATGCCTACTTCTACCACTGCTAATATTATAACAATCACCCCAATATTGAGTAGATTACCCAATTTCTCCTGTCAGTTCAGAAAATTCTTACCACTGCAAATAACATTTTTGTTCATCTATCTATGCCAACAACATATAGTGACGGGAAGAACAATTAAATGCTCTACTTCTGGCAGACGTTTCCGCCTGTTGTCATTGATACTGCACTGAGTAAGTACATTTGTCAGTAAATCATTAAAAAAAAATAAATGAACAATGAGTACATTATATATACCTTTGTGTCATTTTTGTTTGGTGTTGTGCCTTGGCTTTATTAAGGTTGTGAAACACTGATCTATTCTTTGCCTTATGAAAGTGATAAAAGGAGCAAAAATTAAAGAAAGGTTTACAAAAGTGACGTATCAAAAAAAAAAAAAGTAAGTACATTTGTCAGTAAATCATTAAAAAAAAATAAATGAACAATGAGTACATTATATATACCTTTGTGTCATTTTTGTTTGGTGTTGTGCCTTGGCTTTATTAAGGTTGTGAAACACTGATCTATTCTTTGCCTTATGAAAGTGATAAAAGGAGCAAAAATTAAAGAAAGGTTTACAAAAGTGACGTATCAAAAAAAAAAAGATAAAGTTTCATAACCTTAATCTTTGAAGACTCACAGGAAAGTGAGCAAGCATAACTAACGTGTAAAACTAAAAAACAGGTCGCGTTTACGCTGCTTTTATCTACATTAACTCAAAATTATCTCTGAAACGTGAGGGGGAAAAACGCAGTTGAAAGTGGAGGTCAGGTCAGGGGTTACGAACTTTCTCCAACTTTCCGAGTTGAGCATCCGGGTTCACGGTGCATTCGGGTGTCCCCGTTTTGAATGGGGAAAACCAAGAATCGTGTCCACCTGTGCTTTGAAAGTTCGTTTTAAATCTCTTCAATTTCGCTAACTTCTCACACAGCTCTGTGGATCTGAAAGGGCTCGGGGATCTGCAAGCGGTTAATAGCCATCATTTTAACTTTGTGTTTTGTTTAGATTTTTGGTAAATTAGTTTTTTTTCCCGACACAGAGGATGGACTCGAAGAATAAGGAAACGAGCCGGTATGGTTTCTCCTCTTTATTTGATCAAATCAAATATTTGTCTCCCAATGTTTTCAACGTTTTCAGGAGCATTGTCATGTGACCGTGTTAACCTTAGTTTAACATAAACTTACATGTAAAGTGTGTATTACGATATCTTAAGTCTTAAAAGAAAATAACTCACGCTATACTTAAGAAGAGGGACGGATTTTGGAACGCAAGCGCCACCTTCTTTTATTAATTCAGCACAAAAAAAAAACTCCATTAAGCAATTACATTTGTTTTATATGTTGTTGTTTTTATGGGATGTATCATTGGCAGGTAATTTAGCATTTTGAAAGATTTTGGCCCTCCCACTATGACAGATCTGCCCCTATTCAGAGGGGCCAGATTTAGGACACCCGAGTCTTCATACACTTTTCAATTGATTAGCAAACAACAAGGTGCACATCAAGTCCCTTGCAGCTAACGACAAAAAAACTACAACTAAAATTAAATAAAAATTTTCGTAATAAAAAACAACCATTAAAATGAGAGTGCTTTTGGGAATATGCTAACTAAAACTACATTTTGTTTATAAAGGGAAGTACAATTATAGAAAAAAATGACCTTTCTTTTAGTGCATAAACGTTAAGAGAATTTTAAATGTATTTCTTTCCCTATTATTGTCCGGTTTTCCAGAAGAAGGAATGTCAAACAATTATTTGAGGATTGTAGTTCACTTTGTTGCGCAATATTTGGTGTCATTTTCTTTCATTTTGCACTTGACAAATACTTCACGTACCTTAAAAAATGAAAACTAATACTAACACCAATGAAAACTAAAGTAAAACAAAACACTTGA